TGCGTTTAGAATAAATTTTTCCTCCATCTTGACACCACGACATTCAACAAAAGACGATTCGAGATTTTAGAATTTTTCATTTAAGATTAAAATACTCCTTTCTCTATAATAAATATGATTGGCGTTACATCGATCCTATTTGATGATACATTCAAGTGTAATAGCGTTGAATCCGGAAATTTGTTCCGTGGGTGTAGTTACGGAACTGGCTAATCGCAGTCATCCCATTCTTCTGAGGAATAGTTGCGATTGGCCAGTTTGACATGGATGTTATTAAACCCGATTAAAAGTGACGTGTAAACGTAGTCATTGTAGACACAAAGCTTAACAGGAGTTTGGAAGCCTAGGCTTCTCCGCGCTCTCGAGGAGCTCGCTCCAGGAGAAAAAGGAGCCAAGCCGACACGACGGACGGTCGAGTCACGCGGAGAAAGCTATCGCGGCTCTCACGTAATCGGCCGAGGGCCGATCCTTAACCGCCGCGCGATCGTCCGTGATTTCTTTGCCTTCTCGATCGTTATCGCGACATGGCCGAGCGGCGGCGCACAATGCCGCGCGGATTAAAGGATTCTCCACACCGGGCACGCCGGTGTCGCGCTTTAATTATTGAGTACCGCGAGCGATACCGCGCGCGCCGTTTGCGTAGTCCCCGCAATTTCGTTACGGGCCAAATCGGCGAGCGCGAGATGGTCTTGTTCCACGGCGAAGATACACATTCTATTTCTCCGCGGATCTCCATTTTCCCCCGGATATCCGATTCGATATCAGCGTTCGCGCGGTCTTGGATCAAAATTCAAATTCGTTGAGCGATTGCAGATAATAAGATCAACGTTGGAAGAATAATCTATGCAATTAAATAGTAGAGATACTCTCTAAAAGTCAGTCGGTGACTATTCACTGATTGATTTTTAGAGAGTGGGACAACATTAATAGCGTGAAATAATGATTTCTTTTCTTACGCAATTATCTCGATTAAAGTTAAAAAAAACATATATATAAATAATAATTAGGATACATTTACTTGCGCTGCCGAGGTATAAATTCTTATAATTTATACTATAAATCAGTGATTATCCACCGATTGATTTTTAGAGAGTAGGACAAAATTAATAGCGTGAAATAATGATTTGTTTTCTTATGCAATTATCTCGGTTAAAGTAAAAAAATATATAAATAATAATTAGGACACATTTATTTCCGCTGGCGAGGTATAAATTCTTATATAGTTTATACTATAAATCAGTGACTAATTCACTGATTGATTTTTCGAGAGTAGGACAAAATTAATAGCGTGAAATAATGATTTGTTTTGTTATGCAATTATCTCGGTTAAAGTAAAAAAATAAATATAAATAATAATTAGGATACATTTATTTCCGCTGCCGAGATATAAATTCTTTTATGTATTGGCGAACGGTCGTTCGCGAGCGACGCGAAGGTAAAAACTCTATTGTGCCGGTGATAAAAGAACGCGAACAACTTCGAGCAACGTTACGACGGCGTGTCCTAATATTCTGCATACTTACGATACGGCCGATCGTGCCTTTATTAGCGGCATGACGACGATGCGGACTTGGTAAAATGCACGCGTCGTAAAAAGCCTTATCACGCCAAGCACGATAATTATACGGCGAGAGGAGCAACTTAAGTGGCCCGCGCGGCAGCAGTTAAGAACGCGAGCGCGTAAAAAATTCTGTTTGCACAACGGATTATTGAGTGAGAAACTCCGGCCGCGGATCGACGCTTGTAAAATCCCGGCCCCGATGGCGAAATTACAGAGGCCCCGGTTTATAGACGGCGACCTAATCATCTAACCCCTCGAATCGGGATCGCTATCGATCGGTTTGGGCGAAATGTACGATACGTACCGGCGAGGTATCCACACGGCTCGCTTTCCGATGACTTACCGAAATTCGCCCCGACGCTACTCTACGGCGCGAGGTCGCGGCGACGAGGGACCGGAATTTACGAGGGTACGCCGAGGTTCCGCGGGTCCGCGCGCGACAAAGAAAACGAGGGAGGAGCCTCGGCTCGTCGATCGTCCCCGGCGATTTTACGAGGCGCGTATACGACGATTACCTCTAACATCGTTAACCCGCTCGCCCTCCACACGCCACTTTCCGATTATCCTCTCCGTCGTCGACTCACGGCAATAGCGCCGGTACAATTAATTTGGTTCTGCCTCGATAATGTCCCAAACCCGGAAGTCGTATCGTCGCGCTGGTAGATTCGCGGGAGCTCGTTACCGCCGCGCGTGAAACACCGCGGTTCTCCGATCGGTAAACAAAATTGCGCCGTTAATCAGAACTTCTCCGTGTCCGCGCGAGCCGGCGTCTCGACGAAAAACTCGGCTGTTGTTCGGCGATTGCGGCAAGTGCGATCGACGTTGAAACGATAACGCGCGGCATTGATCGTAAAAGCAAATAAAACCAAAGAAACGGAGTCAAATGGGGCCATCGCGATATAAATCAAACGAGCGAGAGCGCCTTTAGGTCCGAGCAAGATGCTGGTGGCCGAATAATTGTGATGTAAAATGCGAATTCGCGTGTCGTTTTCCACCATGTCCTGCGTCGCTGGTTTCTCTTCAGACACGGCACAGTTTTATTTAGATGGAATCGTTGTCGTCAGTGATTCACTTATTAAAATCGACAAACGACTTCTAATTATTAATAAAAAAAAAAAGAATCGCCGATACCACATTCGACGGTTGCCTTCTTCGATTGCGAACCGAATCGACTTCCGGGTTTCAAGTGTTATCATACGACTAAAGCCTGGTCTACAACGTGCTCTTTGCGTCTACACTCACAGAAAAAAATGTCCGGATCCAACGCTATTACACTTCAACGTATCATAAAATAGAATCGATATAGCACCAGTCATATTTATTATAGAGAAAGGAATCTTTTAATCCTAAATGAAAAGTTCTAAAATCCAGAATCGTCTTTTGTCGCATATCGTGGTGCCAGGCTTCGTGCGTTGTAAGCTGGAGGGAAACCTGATTCTAAACGCAAGAATATATAAAGTTACTCCTGTCTCAATATAGCAAGTCAATCTTTTTCAATTCGATCGAGGAGAATAAAAATTATTGATTTTATTTTGACACCGTCCTATTTTTATACCGAATGAGGCTGTCAGAAGTATAAATGCGTCAAGAATAATTTTTGTCTCGGTAACAGAAATCTTTTCTACATCCACAGAAAGAATTTCCGGATCCAATGCTATTACACTTCAATGTATCGTGAAATAGAATCGGTGCAGCGCCAATCATATTTATCATAGAGACAGGATTATTTTAATCTTAAATGAAAAATTCTAAAATCTAGAATCGTCTTTTGTCGCATATCGTGATGCCAGGCTTCGTGCGTTGTGAGCTGGAGAGGGAATTTATTCTAAACGCAAGAATGCATAAAGTTACTCCTGTCTCAATATAGCAAGTCAATCTTTTTCAATTCGATCGAGGAGAATAAAAATTATTCATTTTATTTTGACACCGTCTTATTTTTGTACAAAATGAGGTTGTCAGAAATATAAGTGCGCCAAGAACATTTTTTATCTCGGCAAGAGAATACCTTTCTGAGGTTGCGGGGACATTTTGTAGCCGATATAGGTACACTCGAAGAATTTGGGCAAGTCGACAAGTCGTACGCCGTACGACAAATTTTTTTCACGCGTTCTCCGATCCGCCTGTACAAACCGGAGTGTTTCTAGACGGCGAGATAGGAGCACGTTGCAGAGACGCAGGCTTAGGTCGATCGCGCTAAATCGCGGCGTGGAGAATCGAGCACGCGCGTACTCGTTACAGAGGTAAGAACGACGAGAATTGAGAAATGACGATAGGGGGGGCGGTCATTGATTTTCCGATCTTAGAGGTAATCAACTGACCGAGGGAGACCGCCCGTCGAAGTTTGCCCGTTCCCAGATGATCCGGGGCACTAATTAGGATTACGTTACGATCGATATCGCAATACGGAGACCGGATTATCTCCCCCGACAAATCTATCGAGTGTCTCGCTGCGAGGCAAGAATGGAAAACTGGCCGTGGGGGATGGCGAGGGGGGGGAGGGGGGAGAGGGAGGAAGAAAGAGATCGACACTCGCGGCACGTCGTCGTCCAGATTGCCGCGGGTGTGCGCGCTCGGCGTCGCCGCGGCGTCATCCTCGCGCTTACGACGTTAAACGCCCTCGCGCGTCTCCCCAATAATCCGTTAAGCACGTCGCGATAGAGCGCGATAGACACCGGGAGACGGCGGGGAGGCGGCGGCGGCGGCGGCGGCGGCGGCGGCAGCGGGGCGGGGAGGATTTGGTAAACGAGGAGCAAAGATTCCGAGTCGGGGCTCCGGGTCTGTTGTTCGAAACTCGATTAACGAGCCCCCACGTTCGGCGCGGCGCAACGTTTTCTCGGAAGAGAGCCGCCGCGCGCGGCCTTATCGATCAAGAACCGGAGCGGAGGGAATTAAGCCTCGATCGGTGGGGAGGCAGGGATTAGTTTTTGCGGATGACTCGATCCTTCCCTCGTTTCGCGAAAGACCGGGTCGGGGCGCCCGTAATTATTAGCCCCTGAACCGGCGCGGACGCGGCGCGGCGAGGCGGGCGGCTCCGACGGCGAGAGATTAACGAGGACAGCCGTAACGCGCGGCGCGGCGCGACGCGTCGCGCGCGATCGCCGCGGAGCGAGGGGAGGGGGGGTGGGAAGAGAACACCCTTGCTCTCTTCACCCGCGAAAGTAACAATCGCCGTCTATTATCCACGCTTCGTCGACATTTCGCGCGCGGCGGCGCGTCACGCTCCCGAAGCTGGGCCGCATAACTAACGAGGACACGTGACTTCGCGCGCCGCTAACTATCGCAGCGTAGCCGCCGCGTGAACTTGGCACGGCCGCGTCTAAACTCGGGACTCCCCCCCCCCCCCGCGCCGCTCCGCGAAAACGAAGGATTCGATTACGCGCGCACACACACAGGCACGCACGCACGCACGCACGCACGCACGCACGCACCGTATACGTACCTTCGAAGGACCCGTCCGGATCCGTCGCGCCGATTCCCGGGATCGAGCCGCGTAACGATCGTCGGCTCCCAAGATCCGAGACGCCTCTTAAATCCGTCTTGGCACTGCGGCGAAAAAGCACTTGCGTTTCCTGCCGCGCACTCTCTTTTTCCTCCGCTCGTACGATCTCCCTTTTCTCTCTCCTCTCTCTCTCTCTCTCTCGCTCTCTCTCGCTCTCTCCTTCTCTCTCTCTTTCTCTCTCGCCCGCTCGCGCTCCGACTCGCACTGACACTCTCGTACGGACTGACGCGTGCACCGTCGCCGAGTCGACACACCAGGGCTCTACGTCAAGCGTGCGTGTGGATGCGCGCGGACAGCCGTCGCGGACCGGAATCGGGCACCGGAGACACCGAGCGAACACGTCGGCGAGCGCACCGCGCAACGTACGACGCTCGACTGCGAGGCGAGCCGGGTAGTACCGCCGAAGTGGATGACGGGAACGTGTGAACGCCGCTTGCCGCCGCGCGCCGCCATTGCGCCCCGCCGCGCCGCGCCGCGCCGCGGCGGGCCCCCCCACACCGACGCATCAATGAGAGCGTGCGCGCGGACACACGCACACACGCGGCCGCGCCGGAGAACAGCGGTGGCAGCTACGCTCCGTCTCGCTTCCACCGCAAGCTGTCCTGCCCCCGCCGCAGCGCCGTTCTCCGCGCTCCTCACCGTCCTCCCCGCCCCTCTCGCCCCGACGCTCCGTCGCCACCCCCGCCGCGCCGCCCCGCGCGAGTCAAGGGCGTCGACCGACGGGGGCGAGAGAGCCGCGCTCTCCGCCTCCCTCTTCTCCGCGGAGTTTGTGGGTTACGAAGAAGAGAATCTGTATCTCTCTCTCTCTCTCTCTCTCGCGCTCTCTCTCTCTCCGCCTTTCCGTTCGCTCTCCGCTGCCTCTTCCCGAGGGCCGTTAAAAAAGATTCAATCTACCGCTCGCCGCCCCCGGAGTGGTACATTTCCACTCCTTTTCCGCGCGTCGCGTCGCGCGATTCGACCCGTTCCGTAAATTTCGATCGCGGGCATCGCGGGGTTGCCCGTCGAATCTCGTGTCGGACGGTATCCTTTGTTACACGAGCGTCGGACTCGCGGCGGTCGCCGCGGACCGTTTTTGTCCCGGCGCGATTTTAACCGTCGCCGGAAGTGTAAACTCGAAACTTTTCGGCCGCCGCGGTGGCCGGACGTTGAGCGCTGTTGAGGGAGAGAGGAGAAAAAAAAAGAGAGATGCGCTCGAAAGCGCCTTTCGCTACCGTGCGACGCGGCGCGGCCGAGCGCGCGAGTTTCGGCCGATTTGATTGGTCCACTTTGAACGCTACGCGTTCGAAAACTGTTACGGCCTCCGCGCTGCCCCTCCCCCCCCCCCCGGTGTTTCGGTCCTCGTCTCGGAAGGATCTCGGGAATCCGCGTCGTGAGAGAATTTTCAGAATAGATCCGCTCGGAATTAAAGCCGCTTTACGCAAGGCCGTAACTTGGTCAATTGTGGAATACGTTGTACTCGACGAACAATAATTTGAGAAACGCCTGGACATTCCTGCTAGTAAATCCGAACAATCGCTTGCGCGCGCTCGCCTCGCGATTCCGCGATTTTTAATCGGCGCGCGCGCGCGCGCGCGCGATGGGGCTCAACGGCGCGTTAATGAACACACCCGCCGTCGTGCGCGCGCGCGACAAGTTTCGAAAACTCTTTAGCGACACCCCTGCTTTTCGCTCGTCGCTCTCGCTCCCGCCTGCCGCGCGAGGCATCTCCCCGAGCTCTCGCTCTCTCTCTTTCTTTCTTTCTCTCGTGCCACGGATATGCCTCGTGGCCACTCCTCCGCTGCCCGCCGCTCGTTTGTCGTTGCTCTCCGTCGCGCCGACGCGTTTCTTAATCTTTCGCTCTCTCCGGTCGGTCGGTCGGGCGGTCGGTCGGTCCCTCGTGTCGTCTCTCGCTCTCGCTCGCTCTCTCGCTCGCGCCCTCGCAATCCCGCATAGGCCGGCGATACAACGGGAATGCCGAATGTCGGCTGTGGGTGTAGCTGCGTGTGTGTGCGCTCGCTCGCGCGCGCGCGCGTGTCGCGACAGAGACGGCGCGAGTCAAAGTGGCGGAGAGCACCGGACAACACGAGTCAACCGGCAACGTAAGTAGAGAGCTCGGCGTGGGTGTAACCGCCGCGAGCGTGTGGGTGAGGGACGGGGCGGGGGAAGAATGAGGGACGGGCGGAGGCGCGGCGGGACGGGGGCGGGGGGGGCGGCCGGGGAGAGACGCGAGCGAGCGGGTGTGTGCACGTGCGTGCGCGCAGTTGTGTATAAAGCTCGCGCTTACGTACACACGTCGGCTCGTGTGGCGCTCATCATATTACACACCGTTCATGCATCGCGTCCGCCGCCGCCGCGCTGCTTTGAAGGAGAGATGAATCCTCGATTCGGTTAAACGCCCGCCAACCGGGGGATGCTCTAAATCAGGGCTGTCTACCTGAGCACACGTACATGCGTGCGCGCGCATGTACGTGTGCGCGCGTATACGTGCGGCCCGGCTTTTCGAAATTCCAATACCCCGCGCTCCCGTGCGCGACGAGACGAGAGGAACAGCGAGAGCGAGAGAGAGAGAGAGAGAGAGGGAGAGAGAGAGAGAGCGACGTCGACTATTGCACCGATGCGTTTTCCTGCGCATCTCGTCGCGAGATGTATGTCTTCCTCGCCGGCGTGATCGATCATGAATAGAAATCGACGGGATACGATGCCGCGCGATGTTGCGTCACGTTTCGCTCCGAGACGGCGTAATGGAATCAGAGATATTGAAATTTTGCAAAAACCAAAGTTCGCGGGAGCGTTTAAGCGCGCCTGCTTTTTCTGCCTTGATTTTGCATAATGAAAAGACTGCAAATCAGCCGGAGAGGAGTCGCGGCCGCGTGGGATTATTCCGAAAGCGCGTTCCGCCGAGACAAAAATTACGTAACGGTGTATTTAAACGCGGCTCGTAAGACGAGGTCGAAAGGGGGGGGAGGATTTAATCATATTTGTTCTCCACTTTGTTTTGCGTATTTAAAAAAATCTGACCGTAAACAAGCCACGGAGTTCGCGGCGAGAGCTGTTTGGGATTATTCCGGGAAATTACGTAATGATACATTTAAAATGCGTCTCGTAAGAACGATAACAAAATAAACGTTGACGCGCGCGGGAAAAACGTCGCTAGAAAATGTAAATTACCGCCGAGGTTTATTGGCGAGTATCCCGACGTATCAGACGCCGCGGCGTTTTTCAAGCGCGATTTAGAAAAACGGAACAATGTACACTCGCGTTATATCTATTTTAATTACATTCCGCGATAAATTTAAATTTATGACGTGGATGAAATTAAACAATGGATAGCTTCTTGACAATTTTTTAAAAAACTGACCGCGAAGACCGACCGCGAAAATACGAAGATGCGTGCAACTATGCGTGTATTCGTGCAAAATCTTGAAAGTGTATCGCGGGACACACATACAGAATAAATGACGTGAGACCCGGGGAAAACTTTCCGTACGATAGACCGACAATTGAGTATTCTAGTTAATCAATAATCTTCAGTGTTTTCTTGATCATGTCTGGCATTTTTAATACACGGAAGAAAGAATGATGTTGCATCAACAAGATCAGTGTAGTATTAATAAGTGAAAAACATCATATTCTTGTCTTGATAATCTGGATATTTAGTTCAATGCTTAACATTAAAATCCATAGCAAATACGATCGAGTGAATTATTTATGCTTGTCACGTTAACGTTTAATTCAAGCAACATACATTTTGTTTAATTTAATAGCATTCTCTTTTTTCCGTGAGATTAATTTTACGCCAAATAAAAAATATTTACCGTTAAGTTGCTCCGCCGGCGCCCGATGCCTCTCCTAGGCCTCCTCCTCCTCCTCCTCCACTCGGATTGTCTTCCGGCACACTCGCGAAATCACAAAGATCGTTCGCGCGATTATACGCTCCCGTTTGCAAAGCCCATGTGAAAGAAACAGAAATTCTGTCCCGTCAAGTTCGCCTCCACTTCGAGTCGACGAGTATTATACTCCAAAAACTGCCAAATCTCGGAAGCGTGGCCATCGACAGGAACGGACATTTAACGAATACTTGTTCCGCAAATGGGCTTTGAAAAGTCTTTAGTTCGATTATTCAAACGGCACTCCCGAACGCGACGAAAATGGAAACTTTACGTTATACGCGCACTTTTGTACGTATAATCGTTCGAGAGATTATTTCTTGGCGGGCGTTCGATATATTATAATTTTTCGTTATCATTTTACTCGACGACTCGTGTATTAGTTTGCGCTTTTGATCTGAAGGTGATAAATGTTTAATTTGAGCCGACGAAAATTCTAAAGCACAACGCGAGAGAGATTCGCCCGAGTTCGATTGTTAAAAAAGGTATTATCGTTCGTGGATGTATCGAAACTAATAATTTATACATATATGTAATTCCTCGCGTTTTCTCTTCCAATTACGCGTGATATTCATCTCGACAAATCACCGTAGAAATCAACGATATGATTACGGATCGCGACAATTATTTAAACGCGATTGATAAATGTTGATGACTGATCGCGTTACGACGAGCGACGCGAAGGCCGCGCCGTCTTCGCTCGAGTGATCCGCGCCGAATAATTCGCTCAATAGACTGTCTTCGACCGAGGTTGTTCACGGCGTTACGTCATTTCTGGGAACCGGCGCGGGCGGCTCGGCTTTCGTTGTTTACAGCGCTCGGTCGCTACGTCACTTCTTGGAATGCGACGCTCGGTCTACGGCGCTCGGTGAAACAAAGTCACGCCGTACGCAGGTTTGTTTACGCGGCAACAGTCGAACGAGCCGGCTAGTGCCCCCCGATGCGGGGGCATATCGTATTAGTCTGTCTTGATACGCGTTCGCGACGAGTACGGGACGAGACCGCGATCGCTGAATCCCCGCGATTTGCCATCGATGCTCGGTCGGCCGGCAAGATCTACGAATCTCGCGCGATTCGTACACGAGATCTGCACGTCGAAAAATTAAAGCGCTAGCTAACTTGAAGTTACTTTGTTCATTGCGATAATTGCATCTTTAATCGAAGTATTGCTCGTATTCGGACACATCTTGTAACGCGTTGAATCTCTCGTTGCTTCGGGTAATTTGTTAGTTGATTGTTTCCAGGTTGAAAGCGCGAAATAACGCACGAAATATTGAATCGAGTGTTTTAAGTAGCATTTATCGGTGATTTATTAATATCACTAGTTTATAAATTTTTTACTGAATTTATAAGTGAAAATACACGCGCGACTTTGAATTTTTAATTATTTTCGGACGAGTGTGTCTCGATTAACCGTCAACTCAGTTGCGTTCATTGTACGGTGTCGAAAACGTATAATTTTCAAGTTTTTCGTTCACTAACGGAAATGTATAATCTTGAAATTTTTCTTTTGTTAACGGAATCATACAAGTGCTGGTCGAATGTCATCGCGATACGTTCAATCGACTATTAAAAAATTAAATATCACTAAATCTTATCCGCGCATAATTATATAATTGCAACATTTACTCATAGATAGTTTAAATTTGACATTTATACGTCGACTCCTGCTGATTAAAATTCGTACT